AGTGCTGTAGAAATGATCAGTGTTCTATCTCCCAAGTTTTGGAATGTAAAACCTGAATTCCTCATGTTTTGAAACTTGATGCCCGACTTTCTTAGGGTTGAGACTGAATTTACCTTGTTTTGAAATCTAGATCCAGAATTGAAACCGAAAAGCTTAAGTGTCTAATGTTTTGAAATCTAAAAATCTTTGATATATGCACAGGTTTTGACACCTGGAAGCCTACTTTTCCGTTTTGAAACTTAAAGACCGAATTTCTTGTGATCTGAAACCTGAAAACCTAAATTCCTTTTTGAAACCCAAAGCCTAAATTCCCCCTTGTTTCTAAACCCAAACGCCTAAATTCCCCCTTGTTTCGAAACCCAAACGCCTAAATTCCCCATGTTCTGATACCCAAACGCCTAAATTCCCCATGTTCTGATACCCAAACGCCTAAATTCCCCATGTTCTGATACCCAAAAGCCTAAATTCCCCATGTTCTGATACCTCAAAGCATTAATTCCTTGAATCTCGAATTTCTCGTGATCTGAAAACCAGAAGCCAAAATGCTAACGTCTTTCGTGTGTTCTTTCAGGTATGTGTGCGTCAAGGTTTGTGAGGTGAACGTCAGAAGGCCCGCGGGTGAGTACTTGTGATCGACCATGGCCTCCGTTTAACCTTTATAGGCCTAAGGTTACCTTCACAAGCAAACATTTGGGGCTCCCCCTTCCCTCTCCCACCCCCCTAGCCTTATGTCTCCTAGCGTTCTGCTCTTGTTTTGTTTTTTCTCTGAATTCGTTTGTAGCCATCGCGATTTTTTTATTCTCTCTCCTCCCTCTCTCTCTCTCTCTCCTCTCTCTCTCTCTCTCTCTCTCTCTCTCTCTCTCTCTCTCTCTCTCTCTCTCTCTCTCTCTCTCTCCTCCCTCCCTCCCTCTCCCTCACAGCCCTCCCTTCCCCCCTTCTCTCTCTCTCACTCTCTCTCTCTCTCCCTCACAGCCCTCCCTTCCCCCCTTTCTCTCCTTCACACACACACACACACACACACACACACACACACACACACACACACACACACACACACACACACACACACACACACACACGTATATATAAATGCACAGACATACACTCCCTTCGTCCGCCTATCCAACCGCCCGTCCGCCCGTCCTCACGTTTTCCTCTCCTGCATCTTCCCTCTACCCTCTCTCCCTTCTCTACTTCTCTACCTATCCTCGTCAAGTGCCTTTTACTCTCCCCCCCTCTCCACCGTCCCCCCTCCACTCCTCCCCGCGGTAGACAGAATTGTAGGTATTTAGAGTAACGGCTAATAGGTAAATAGGCCTAACTTGTACCGCCTTGAGTGCAGGTACCTGTCTCAGGTTGCCGGAAGTGGTCACATACCCTGTGGCGATTGGCGGTGCTGGGGAGAATGGGCGGCCTAGGGTGGAGGCGTGGTGTTGGGGAGAATGGGCAGGATTAGGGTGGAGGCGTGGTGCCCGGGATGGTGGACGGGATAAATTGTTGGTGAAGCAGTGGTCGGGAAGGGTGGGTTTTAGGGCGAGTTGGGGATGTTGGCTTGGTGTTGGGGAGAGTGGGCGGGATGTAAGCGTGGTGTTGGCGAGAGTGGGCGGGGTGTAAGCGTGGTGTTGGGGGAGTGATAAGCGTGGTGTTGGCGAGAGTGGGCGGGGTGTAAGCGTGGTGTTGGGGAGAGTGGGCGGGATGCAAGCGTGGTGTTGGCGAGAGTGGGCGGGGTGTAAGCGTGGTGTTGGGAGAGTGGGCGGGATGTAAGCGTGTTGGCGAGAGTGGTGTAAGTGTGGGAGAGTGGGCGGGATGTAAGCGTGGTGTTGGCGAGAGTGGCGTGTAAGCGTGGTGTTGGGCGAGAGTGGCGGATGTGTGGTGTTGGCGAGAGTGGGCGGGGTGTAAGCGTGGTGTTGGGGAGAGTGGGCGGGATGTAAGCGTGGTGTTTTGGGCGGATGAAGAGTGGGCGCGTGGTGTAAGCGCGTGTGTTGGCGAGAGTGTGGCGCTAAAGAGTGTGGCCTGTTGGCGCTGGTGTAAGCGTGGTGTAATAGTGGGTGAGAGTGGGCGAGGCTAGGGTGCAGGTGGCCGTTGCCTGGGCGTGGTATCGGCAAGAGCGGGCGGGATTGAATGTGGGCGTCACGAGTATTTACACGAGTCGGGGAAAGGAAGAGGCGTTAGGGCGTGATTGTAACGATAAGATCCGATTTAGTAAACAAAGATAATGATGAATGAATAAACAGATAATTGAATTGATAAGAAATAAGATCAAATGGCACAGTAGTGAACGAATGTTGTCATAATACAAGCAGTGTGTTGGTTTGTCAGAGAGAGATCGGGACGATTTGCATGTGGATGAAGTGGATTAGATGGACCGAAATATAAAAAAATAATAATGATATATAGGCCTACATATATAAATGATAAAAGCGTTGTGGATTATTGCGAATTGAGTGCACCGGGAAAGGGCGTGTGTTCGCTGATTAATCACCTGGTGTGGATTACCCATTTTGGCTCTGTTATATAGGTTAAACTTGGACAGATTCCAAATTCATTACCCAGTCATTTTGGGGAATTTATGGGGCTGGTGTGTACCGATTTTTTATTTGGTTATTTCACTTTTATTTTGATTGTTGGTTTGGTGATGATTATTTTTTCATGATCTTTTTTGGATCATCATTATTGTGATTATCGTTGGGAATCCTGGGAAATATTATTTTTTATGATAATTGTAGTATTAGTAGATATTACAATAATTATATCATCAGTATATTCTCCCACCACTATTACTTCTCGCTGTACTTAATGTAGTATTAGTAATCAGTAGTACTGTTAGATGGAGTTGTTAGTCGCATGTCACTGTCATCAATTTATTTATTAGTTACTTATCTGTAGTAGTTGGATTAATGGTAGAGGTATTACAAAAAAATCCATGCTTGTCCAAGAAGGAAAAGGTCAGCGTGAGACGAGCAAGAATGGAGTCAGGTTAACTCGGCTCCCAACGACCTCAGTGCTTCGCTGCAAGGTCTATGTAAGTGTCCTTATAGAATCCGTATATAGAAACTTCACTGCGTCCTTACACGCGCGTAAGAAGCTGTAGGGGCTGAACTTTCGGTTGGCCCTTGGGTACTTTCGGGAATGGAATTGGATGCAAGCACACGCATGGACTCAAATATTAATTGATTAATTTGATACGTGTACTATTAATACGTACAAACTATTTGCACGCGCGCGCACGCACGCACACACGCACGCACGCAAGTACACAGACGCATAAAGTTGCTGATTAAAGTGTTGATTCATAATGAAGTTCAGAGGAGTGTGAGAGAGATTTGAGTTTTGTGTGCTAATGGTAAAACATCCGTCCCTTCCCTCCCGTTCCCCCTCCTCTTCTCTCCCTCTCCCTCCACCCCTTCTCCCCTTCCCTGGGCCCCAATCCAGACCCCTCTCATCCTCTTCCCATCCTCCACCCACCCCCGCCCACCCTTTCATAAATGGGGGAAAAAAAGAAACAAAAAAAATTACGGACCTCCAATAACCGGAACAAAAATTAGTCGGCGGTGAAATGTGGCTAATGTGCCTCCATAACAAATCCTGAGTGATGTGCCACATTACTCTGCGGGGGGGGGGGTACGACAGGGTGGGGTAGGTGGGTATGGGAGGGAAGGAGGGCGGGAGTGCCTGTACCACGCTTGCTGCCGCCGATACTTTGGTGCAGGTACGCATTGATTGTCTATCTTTTTGGGAGTACAGGTACACAATGGTGCTCTCTCTCTCTCTCTCTCTCTCTCTCTCTCTCTCCTCTCTCTCTCTCTCTCTCTCTCTCTCTCTCTCTCTCTCTCTCTCTCTCTTCTCTCTCTCTCTCTCTCTCTCTCTCTCTCTCTCTCTCTCTCTCTCTCTCTCTCTCTCTCTCTCTCTCTCTCTCTCTCTCTCTCTCTCTCTCTCTCTCTCTCTCTTTGTGTGTGTGTGTGTGTCTGTCTGTCTGTCTGTCTGTCTGTCTGTCTTCTGTCTTCTGTCTGTCTCACGCAGTCCGCTCTTACCTAAATGATGTCGGTAGGTTAGAGTGAATCGTTATATATATATATATATATATATATATATATATATATATATATATATATATATATATATGGCCTCCATTTTCCATTTTGAAAACGGTTAGGCTTTGCAGAGAAAACGTGATTGAGAAAGTTTGTGTCAGCAAAAGTATATTTTTGTTTTTCAAGACGTAGTAGTAGTGATGGTAGTAATAATATTAGTAGTAATATGTTCTCTTATGATGTATATCATTATATTCAATCGTTCAATAGCCGTCCTTTTAGCTAAGTAAAAACACCTGTTCACACTTGCAATTGCACTCCCGCCCGTAGTAGGTGACGTAAGCATCACTCGCATGCACTTGAGGTTGGAATATTGCAGTGACGGAAGCGTGAGTGATATTTTCATGAGCCGTTTCAGGCTGTGTGTGCAATTAGGGAGCTGAGTATTGTAGTCAAGATTGTAATTAACATGTAAGGCACAAGGGCTCGCCGGCGGGGAATGCGAGTGTTATGCGGGGAGTGAGTGATGAGTAAGGTGGGTATGTGGAGGTTGTGTGTTTGCGAGTGAGTTGAATACCCTTTTGCTGGATTCGAAATTCGTTTGGGTGTCTTTGCATACGGGAAGAAATGTGTCATCTAGAGAGAATCAACATTGAGACTGATAGAAGACTGCATTGGAAGAAGAAGAAACACCAACCAAGGCCGGAGAACTCCCCAAGGAAAAGCGAAGGAGATAGGCCAAGGCAAAGGGACTGTGGAGGGGGAAGAGAGAGAGGGGAGAGAGGGGGGAGGGGGACAAGTGCGAGCGTAGAGGGGAGTAGAGGAGAGGGGTCGGGTCGGGTCGGGTCCTTGGCGTGCCTGCAGCTCCGTCGGGGGGCCGCAGTGTCCACACAAGGAGGCCGGTGCGTGAGCCGTAATCTGGATATTTAGTCATTAAACGGTGCATTTATTGTGGATAATTGATAATATAACATTGGCGATGGCGGAGGCACACGCGACAGAGGCCCCGACGCGGCAGTCCGCGGCGGAGGAAGGACGCGATGGTGGCGATAGTGATGGTGAAGATGGTGGCGGTGGTTGTGATGGTGATGGAAGGGGTAGGGAAGGAGATTTTATAAGTCAGGGTATAAATAATAGCGTTAATTGTGAGACTTGATGTAATGATTGTGATTCCGATAGCGGTGAATGCGATGATGTATTGAGAAGGATTGGTGTAATAAGAGGCAGATGTGATAATTTTAATGGTAATGGTAGGTAAGTACAGTAATCGTGGGTATTGGCTATGAAGTTTCATGATTAGTATGAATAAGAAATACCTTATAGTAATATACATTCCAAAATAACACGTCTTTGTTATTGTTTTAACAATTGTAGAGCGTTAGAAATGGAAAAGACAATAATGATAATGATGATATTGAAAATGATAATCACGTACTAATTATGGTGATAATTGTTGGATAATAGTAATGGAAAAGACAACAACAATAATAATGATAATGATAAATACGCACTGATTATGGTAATGCGATACCAATGATCGTGCTCCTGTTGATTACACAAGAGCTCGGTATAATTATGTAAATCGGAGTGACCATAGATCCGGAACCGGGAAATTCGGACAAACAGACCCGTCGCCTTTGACCGCGAGATCGAGGTCAGAGGGGCAGAAACAGGGGCTCGGAGTGGACGGCAAATCTTTGGCTGGTAATCAGCTGTTCCTTGTAGGAGTGTAGGCTGCCATTGATTTTATTTAGCTTTATGACTTGTCTGTATTTTTTATTTTATTTCATTTTTTATTTTTTCCTTTTCTCCTTTCTTTTTATCATCCTCTACCTTTCTCTTCTCTTCTTTTTCAATTTATCCCTCTCCCTCTCCCTCTCCCACGCCCTCGCTCATCTCTCTCTCTCTCTCTCTCTCTCTCTCTCTCTCTCTCTCTCTCTCTCTCTCTCTCTCTCTCTCTCATTCTGTTGTTTGTCGTTGTGGATTTGCGGGTAATTTAGGTTGTTGAAGGCATGGGTTCGCGGATTGCTGAACGTGCTGAAGCCAACCTTTGATCTATTTAAACGCGGGTTTGTGTGTGTGTGTGTGTGCGTGTGTGTGTTTAAAACTTCTATTCCTATGCATTATACATTTCTAATATTTTGCTTATTATTTGTGCTGTTATTGACGTTGTCCCTTTATGTCGCCACCAACGATGTCATACAAGCGAAAGATCCACTAGGTCGCCCCACCCAATCGCAAGCAGTGCCTCCGCAAATTGCTCTTTGCATACACTTAAGTCCGTATATTGCGTGCAATAAAAGGTAAATAAATAAAATACTAGAATTGGAGTGCTTGATGTTGGAAGGGGTAGGGGATATTAGAGAGAGAGAGAGAGAGAGAGAGGAGAGAGAGAGAGAGAGAGAGAGAGAGAGAGAGAGAGAGAGAGAGAGAGAGAGAGAGGCGTAGGGAGGGGGAGCGAGCGATTCGAACGTACATATTGGGGTAGGGGGAGGAGGAGGGATAAGGTATGGGGTTGGGGGGGAGAAGAGAAGCGAATGTTGTCATCGAATTTATCGCTTATTTACACATTAAACCGGCCATAAATTGACAGTCTGCATCAATATTTCAGCGCGTTATAGGTGCTGCATAAATTATGTTCCAGGTGTCGCGGTGCGCCTGGGGGTCGTACGGGGAGGAGTTGGTGGATATAGGGAAAAAGGGGGGAGAAATAGCGGGTATATAGGATAGGAGGGGGATGAAGAATGGGGGGACGGAAATAGGGGTGTAGGATAGGAGGATGAAGGATGGGGGGAGGAAATCAGGGTGTAGGATACGGGGGAGAGAAATAAGGATGTAGGTTAGGAGGATGAGGATGTGGGAGGGAAATAGGGGTGTAGGATAGGGAAAGGGAAAGGAATAGGGGGTAAAGGATAGGGAGGGGGAGGGAAGGATTTGGGGGATAGAAGAGGGTAAATGAGCAGAATAAGGATGGAAGAGAGGGTAGGGAAGAAAATGGAGATGGGTAGAATAGAGCAGAATAGGATAGATATAAGGGAAGGGAAAGGAGGAAGAGAAGAGAGATCCTGTAGAAGTAGATAAAGGATAGTGACCATTGAAGGTGAGAGAGAGAAAGGGGGTGTCAGGGTTTTTTTGAGTTGAAGGACTTGTAGTAATGGGGAAGTATGTGTGTGTGTGGGGAGGGATATTAGCGCTAAAAAAGGTGGGTGGCGTTTGTTCTCGGGAGCTCTGTGTACGGCTGTATTGAGTGATTTGATTCATTTGGATTATTTATGGGCGTGGAGGCGATTGGCGCGGGTCGAAGGGTGGAGTGGGCGGGACGCGCGAGATGACGTGTTGGGGATAATATACTGTTTGTAGTGGAAATAGTAGTAGCCGCAGTAGTAGTAGCAATAGTAGTCATAGTAGTCGTAGTAGTAGTAGCAGTAGCAGTAGCAATAGAAGAAATGTAATCACAGTAGAGTGGAGA